AAGTAAGGACGTTATTTTTAACTTTATGGCTCAATTTATATAAAATAAAACCAACTATTCAAACATTTAAATTTTATTACAAATAAATTGATTACTTATATTATTCTGAAAATGATAAAAATTACTAGGTAATTCAGTAATTACTTTAAGTATCAGTGACCTATTACACTTATCTGTCCCGTACCTAACCTTGTACATTTTAATTGTTTCAATTGAAATCGAAATTGCGACTGAGCACCAAGACTAGGATAGGTATTAAGTTGAGACAAAAAGTGAAATCAGTTGACTATCAACAGTTCTTATTCTTGTTATAGCTTGTATTAATTTAAAAACAGATAAATAAAGATATAACTATTTCTTTTAAGAAACCAACGTAAAATAAATGTATGTTGGCACCGACCATGAACAAAAGGACGTTTAATCTGTGCGTTATGAGTAACGACAAGAAAGCATAAGAGTGCTAGACAAGTGGCGGTCATGTCAACAGTGTGTMGAAGACTGTTGCGTATGCATGTCCGAACAAATTTTAAAMATTTGAGCAACTGCGATGTGGTCATCGGCTTAAAAAATCCCAAGTCCGTTGGACACCAGCTGCGTGTACTTCTTACACGACGGAGGGCGCACACAGAACAACAACAAGAAGAACAAGAAGTACAAAAAGAACAAGAAGAACTAAGCACTTACGGTTCTTCAGTCTTCTTAAGTGTCCATGGTTGCTGGACTTTCTGAGTGGATTGGCAGCAATGAGCCCGACGACTCAGCTCGGACGTGCCTCGGACATGGAAAACGGAAAAGGCAAATGGCAAAAGCGCCAAAAGCTCGACGGCGACAAGCAGAATCGGTCCGAAGATCGACGGTGTCGAGTGTGGGACGGCGGGGCGGAGGCAGCGCTTTCGGCGGCGCTAAGACGTAACGACGCGAACGGCGGCGGCGGCGACTACGACGACGGCGAAGATGTTCCTCGGTGAACGAAAACACGCATGATCACCGATCGGTACAATATGTAGTATCGGGCCGCACTGTTGCCAACCTCGGCGGGTCTCGGTACTGCGTTTTCCGTATAATGTGTATAATAATATACCACTACTGCGTCTATATACTTACCACCGTAAATTATTTTTGCGGAGCTTTCGCTCGGCGGAACTGAACGGCCCGCGTGGCGGTATAACAAGTGGGCGCGCACCCGCGGCCGTCGTCGGCGGATCACGGAGCACGGCCGCCGCGCGATGGCCCAAATCCCTCCCCACCCCTTCGGCGGAGGTCCTGCCGTAGCCAGCGATGTCTTCAGCGGATGCTGCAGCTGCTGAACACGGCCGTAATGGCACCGCCGTGCCGATATTTTATTTTTAAACGTTATTGTCTTCGTCTATAGGTCTGACGGCCRTGSCCGACGACTGATGGGCGTACGAAGTGCCTAGTATCGTGATCTATTGGGTAGGTTCCGTACCGAACGGACTACTGTGCGGGCCGTCGAAGAACACCCGGAGACTCCGAACGCCGTCGGTACCTCGACTACCGTTTTGGAACCACTGCGATGTCGGTGTAAATTGTTATGTGATAGCGTCATCCGACACACGCCGCTCGCAACAACTATTAATATTATAATATTAATAAAATATTATTATATATTGTAATTATTAATTAACGTCATCGTGAGTCGCAACTCGGAGCGACAGTGCTATAATAATATAATAATAATATCGTAACGATTGACCAGCAGCAGCAGCTGTCACTCGGTCGTCGTGTGCGGACGGCGTACACTTCGGATTGGTTAAAACCTCATGCCTCATATTACGATTCCCTTCGCTCGCCGCCTTTCCGTAGCTCGCTCGAGTGCGCATATCGCGACGGCGGCGGCGGCGTGCGCTGCTCACAGCCCGCCCGGTAAATGGCATAATCATTATGTAGACACTATATAGATATTATTTTATACCACGGCCGCGGCTGTCGTCGTCGACCATGGCATCATCATTGCACGTCCGCAAAAGTTGCGTTATTATTAAGTAAACAGCGCAATAGTAGAGAATGGTTGCAGCACAATATCGACGTGTCTATCGCATTTTCCGGAGACAGTCAAAACTATTTTTTAATTGCGACGTAAAAAAGCAATGCGGGAGACTTTACATTAATTCGTCGTCGGACATAGTTTTGGCCAGAAGTATAATATAGAGTACGCCGTATCCCGTATCTGATACACGGTTAGGTTCGGTTTACCAAAATGTTGTGGTCCGCATATTATTATTGTTATTATTATTATTATATATACGATATCGGCATATTATGGCCACGACATGCACTATAAAAAAAAAATAGAAATGTTAGATTTCGGCCGTATCGTGATTCGCGGCGTCGTTTTATCTCGTTAGGTACAATTAACAATAACGGATAACTGCAGGCATCCGTTCACGATTAATGATCTTTTGGACGGATATCGCGGTTTGTGATTATTATTAATCACGAATGTACGGTCGGTTTTACTATATTTTTTGTGGACACTTCCGACTATTATAGTAATAGTAGTCACCCGTAAACCACTTGTCGTAATTATAGTGACGTACATGCAGATTGCAGGTACTACAGCACATCACACATCATCATAATATTATATTATATAGTCAAGCTCTAGTAATTCTCTATATATAGCTCTATGAGAATCAAACGATTTTTATTTTTTGGTAACTGTATAATAACGACAATAACTAATAAGACATGCGTTGAGGGCACCAATCATCAGTTATTTATTTATCCTTGTGGGGTTGCATATAAATATGGTGTAGCTCAGGCAAGTCAAACTCGAAGTATCAAGTGGGCCAAACATATATTGAAAAGCTTACTATATGCAGTCTGCCCATAAAAAATATTTAAAAAAATGTTTATAGTTTATCAGAATATAAGACACTATAATATTGTAGGTATACAAATAAACCATACTCTAAGAATCTAAGATATAGTTGTAAAACGGCATTATTATTTTATTTTATGTTTTTGTTCATTAATATACGTATCCAAGGGCCACAAAAAATTGAGCTGAGGGCCGTATGTCCACAAACTGCATGTAGCTGGTAAACCCGCATATAGGTCATTATCAATTATTAAACTTTTAAAAATCTACAATACTGCAGTCTTATTTTTTTAATGCTCTATCATATACCTAGTTGATCAACACCAGCATCAAAAGAACAAAATATCTATAGGTCTACAAATTTTACTCTCAAAATGTTCAAAAACAAGTTGCAGGTATTGGTAACAATTATAAAACGTATATTTAAATTTTTTTTATATTATATATAAAGAAATGGGCAATTACTAATAAATTTGAATTTGTATCCTATGATTTCTTCTTAATGTAGGTATTTTGAGCCTCGAGATACTAAGTAGTGCAAAACTAGTATAATATTATGTCATATTATGCAACACTGGCACTGTGACAGGTGGGAGTTGTCTGGTGTTAATGTATACCCACGTGACTATGTTAAGTATGTGGTCATTAAAAAAAAAATCTTATTTGGTACTTGGCAGGGATGTGCCAATATGTGCAAGAAGTGGCTCTACCAAAAATTACATTATTACTAGGGTGCAATGGCTATTGGCTATTGAAGCGCATCTCCCTCAGGGTCATTTTATGAGGGATGGGGGGCAAAGGGGCATTTGCCTTTGTGCGCCTCGGGATTGAGAAACCGCCCYCYGGGCGGCTTAGTTTTATTAGTGCCCCTGGGCGCCAAAAAGCTTATCAACACGGCCCTGATCTCTTTTAATTCATTCTAGTAAAACTATATATAGTATAATATATAGAGAGGTGAAGTCAAAAACTGACATTTTTTTCGAACATTTAAACACATTTATACTATAGCTACACATATATTTTACATATTATAGACAGAGATTAAGAGATATGAATGGAAGTATAATGTACCAAAAGTTTTCACTACGGTCTACGACCGGCCGCGGTCTTTATAAGAAACAATTATTCATTTTTTAAAGTCATACTGCACATTATACGTACTTTCTTGTGCAGTGTACCTACGTGAATCCGTCGAAAAACTAAACAGCTTGTATTTCGCCGGACCGGACATACACCGCACTGCAGCGGAAAAGCATAGTTGCAGAATAGAATTCGTTCGCACGCGCTGTGGCTGCACTCGCTGGATTCACGCGTAGTACATAAATTATTGCTATTTGCTTCTTTAAAATGTGCTATTGCACACAAATTTCGATCGAGAACAAATTACGTGCCACCCGGCCTGTTTAGTAAATTATAAAATAAATGATAATACCAATATATTTAGGCCTTTTTTTTAAAGTCGAGGGATGTCCAGACATGAAAGACACTCCCCCCCAAAAAAAAAACCGACATTACGTGGTGCCTTTATATCGACCCATTAACGTACGCAATGCGATCAATATGATATTGTATGGTATTACGCGTAGGATATATAGACATATGCTATTATTGTAATGAGTACCTATATGCGTATAGTGGCGATTGGTGGCAATTCCGTATAACCGTATGCACTTATGCACCATGGAAAAGGCGTAGGTGATATTCTAAAATATGCCTTCAAATTTGGAGGGTGATTAGGTCAGAATATATAATTATTAATTTGATACAATCATATAATCAAATAAAAAGTTATTTGAAATTGTTAGTTTCTTTTACAACTTTTGCATTTGAAGTGCGCATAATGTAAATAATATGTTCACAATTTTATATTTATAAAACAATTCAACACTACATCAGCTACAGACGCTACAGTTAATGAGTGGATGATGTATTTTAAATTGTAAAGTTGATTAACTGTTCAATGTACACTTTTAGATATTCAATCCGCCACCGATCGTATTATAACGGGTGCTATAATATACAATCCACAACTGTCTATATTATAATATTAAAATATTAATAACTATACAGACGATGCACGTTGGGACGGTTGAAGAAAACCTATCGTGACKTCGTACTCCGGGAAATTTATCGATTTGTGTACGTGGCGATGGTATCCGTGAGTCGTGACCCGTGCGCCGGGAGCCGGGACCACCACCTGCAAGTGAGAATGCTATAAGAATATAAGATTCGACGTTTTTAAATATTAATATTTTAACTCGCTTAAAAATCGAAATATTGTAAATATAACTGTTATGCAAATATACATGGCTGATTTTATTCTTATGCAGTTGATGTCGAAAAGTTCAATTTATTGAAAAATGAAAATATACATTCACACACGTAGGTACTCTGGAAGTATTTATCAGCAAAGTTATCGTGTATTCGTGTTAATATATTTAGATTTTTAAAACAAATAAAGAATTCCTTTTTCTTGTCCTGGATTGCATATAGGCTACTACCGTTTCCCAGCTAGGTTTCCCTTATATATATATATATATAATGGAGTGATGGATGAATAAGTACTCATTACTTCAAACACTTATCTTATAGTGTACCATTATTAAATTCCTTTGACTATTGATACGTTTTACATTGACCAACAATTTTAGAAAGTATAYCAGTGACAAATAATGTACTGTATACATGTAAAAAGTGGATCGTTCCTGTTGTATACTATTTGTGGGAACAAAGACAACTTTACCCATCTTATTATAATATTCGGGTTGTGTTGCTTGTATATGACTATAAATACTATAATGCCTATAAATAGTAAACTATAATACTCATAGACGCAATTTAAATTAAAAATCTAAGGGTGTTTAAATTATGTATTTTTATCATTTTAGTTTTTTTTTTGTAAGCAAAAAGTTTTTGATACATAAACACAAATATTATTTGACGGGGTTAATTTTAAAATTGGGGGTGCTAGTACCCATTAAGCCTTCCCCTTTTWGTGCCTATGATAATACTATGTGTGATAGTATAATAATATACTATACCAAATTACCAAGTGTACAAAATAATAGATTTTCTGACATTATAGGGGCACTACGTTAAAATATTTATGGCAGTATACGTTCAATTTGGTGTTCTAATTAAAATGCCAGTGTGGTGGTCAAATTATGTTATATTGATGCCTGGATGGTGGGACAGAGGAGTGAGACTAATTTTTTAACACGCGTTTTAATCATTAAACACATAATTTAAGGATAACATATTAACGTATATAATATTCTTATGCTCATTACATAGACGAAAAGCTCAATTAATGAATTAAAGTTTTTTTTTTTATATAAACAAGAACAAGTTGAATGAATGAAATGTGATTAGATTTGAGCATGATATATATATTTATTATATAATATATTTTGTAATGGTTTAGAGTTTACTCTGAYCATTGCAAAAGAGTAAAGACAGATCACAGCGATGTGTCAGCGACCGCAACTCAGTTTCTGTACTCTATATGCGATTCCTCATTTAGACAGAATTATTATAAAAGTTTTTATTTACAGGTTAAAAATATACAACAAAATAGGTYGCCGCTCTACCGCTGTACATTAAAATCAAATATGTCGATTGTACCTCGTCATTAGGTAAGTCCACTTTAATGGAAGTGTTAAAGTTGAATGCAGTCTCAAATAATTTTGAGTAGAAACCGTCAAACATTTTAGTAACTAAACAATTATTTTAATGACGATAAAACTCAATTTTAATACATTTTCGTTTTATTTTTTGCGTTTCATAAACTTTAAAAATTTCTACTTTTCACCCACCAAAGTATTAACTATATACATCCAATTTCCTACTAGACATCTCAATATTGATRGTTGAATCATTTTTTTTAATAGACGGGCTTAATAATAATAATAATAATAATAAACAGAATGGGTACCTATTGAAAAATCAATATCTATTGATTATTATCCATTCATCGCTCTATTCATAATCTAAAATGTTTAACATAATACATTTGTCCGTATAMATTTTGAACTGAAAATTCGGTTTTTACATATTAAAATTATTTGGCACACCCCGTAAAAAAATCCTGTGCACACCAATGTGTTTACATAACGTGTGATCTATCTGAGCACGAGCGTTAAAATCTGTTTAATGTATTGTGTATTATTATTATTATTATCAATCGAACGTCTACRATTAAATCAAACAATATAAATGCATGCACTTTTTCGTCCAAACATTATAATGTGTTTCGATTGTTTTTATAATTATAAAATAATTAATAATAAWAAAAAAAAAATGTTWATATAAGCATTATAACTAAAAAAAAAAAAAATTGTGATGAACAATTTTCATCAAAACATAATATTGTGTTTGAACATTTTATAGATAGTTCTTGGCCCGTAGTTACAGAAAAAGACAGAATTCCACAAATGTATGTCAATTTAATATAGTTCATGACACTTAAGTACACAGGTGCTGAAGTTCAGAATTTTTTTTAGACAAGTCCACTGTGCGTGATTCGGCGATTCGCTGTTCCAGACATCATCATCACGAGTTGAAGTGGACGTTCGATATCGAAACAGCTGAGGCATACGAGTGATGGTGACGGGCCTATTATGGATTGTTAGACGTCGAGGATTGACGGTATCGATTTATACCTAATTTAAATGATTTATGAATATCAACGAATACTTTGATTTAAAGTATCTGGTATCGAGCCGAGCGAGTGATTGACAGAGACTTTTGAAGAGTCGAGATGAGAGCTCGCTGACGTCAGAGACTCAAATATTTTTAAGTTTAAATGATAGGTAACGTATTTTCTCAGAGCCTGCGCGTTGCTTATTGCGTCCAAGGTTTATATTGTGTAGGTACCTATAGATTATAAAGACATAATATAGACTAAGGCTATAATCTATTAACCTTGAACAGACGAACAGCATTAGCTTCGACCACGTTTAAAGATCAATACGTTAGATATATCATTATATAATTAAAGATGTTTAAGGCACATCTTCAATCATGGCTTCGACGACGTACTTTTTTCAGGTGGAGTGACCAACAGCGAACAGACCGTCGGTCAGGAAAGAAAATATTATGGTGATGGGAACGGGTGAATATTACCACAGAAAAAAAACATACCAATAGTTTAGAGGTTTTAGTTGATTATGTTTCGAAAATTAAAACATCAACAGAAACACTGTAAGCACGGTGTAGAAACTATTATTGAAGAACGCAAGGAAGTGCGAACGCAAAATATTCGAAACATTTGGACGGACATTATTGTGATTTATAAATTCAAATTTGCACTCAGCTGGTCGGCTGTCGGTACTTTTGTAGTTTTGTTCTGTTGTCTCGTGTAGGACGTAGGTAAGCGATGTCGATGTGGAGTGGCGATGCCAAATATTTATATATAATAATCATAAATAAATTGTATGGTATTGAAATATTGAATAATGCTTCAGCAACAATAATACAATTTTATTGTTCGATCCATAATGACCATATTATTGTCACCATAATGTCTAAAGGCACGTGCAGGTTCGGTTACGTTGGTACCTACTCAGAGCAAGCGAACGATATGTTCGTGATCTCGTGCCATCCGAATGTTGTGGTCCGTTATCATTTATCAGTTATCAGAATTCGAAACTGAAATGTCAATACATTCTGTCGCKAATACACATCGCACGTGTTCGTGTTGTTAAATTTTCTTGAAAATGGCGAAGAAAGGYTTGAAGAGGAAGCAGAAAACAGAAGTGGTAAAGAAAGAAGATGATTCGAAGGTGATTTTGCCTCTCGTCCGACGTTCGGACGAACCGGTCACCAAAAAGGTATGMATTTTTGGTTTTAAAATTAAATTTTATTTCAATACATTCTCTGTTTACGTACACGCTAAGACCACTACGTACATTTGTGCTATATCCGTACAACAATAATGTTCACGGAAATATCGAATTTTCGATAAATAACTTCCATCGCTCATCTTGTCTGTTTTAGAAGACTCCCGTGTGTCATGTCTCTCTTACAATGTACGGCATAACAAATTTGTGTTCAGTAGTTTCAATTGTGTGTAGCAACCATTAATAACAGAGTGAATTTTACCAACCATCAAACTTGAAGTTAAAAATATTATTTGTGTGTTGCACATAAGTTTTTTACATTGTTTTAATTTTAAGCAAGTTATGACACCTGATCACAATAACAAAGGTAATTTTCTGAACTATCAAGTTTAATAGTAAACTTTTATTCACTYTCATTATTTAAGGTTACTACATACAATTGAAACGACTGTAAACAAATTTGCTATGTTGAACATTTCTAAGACCAAAACCAAAGAAGCAGTTGTGGTATCTTCTTAATGGTTTTTATGGTTATTATTAATTTAGACAATTTCAGTACAACATTTCCTTACATCCGTTACAGTATAACCCCACTGCWTTTACAAATTCTTAACCTAACTGTTAAAATTATGGGAAATGGGAAGTAATGCACTATGGTGTAATTCTAATAGCTGGAGTTGTACTAACATAGTTCCCCTTTAGTTGTGATATGACATAAAAAAGATAATAACAAAATACAAGTGTCTTGCACTTATAACCATTAAAAACATTGAAACTCTACATTAATTTTTATTATAAAGAATGGTTACCTAGTTAGTTTGCAGTTTTTGTTCAAAAGTTCTCATAACTAATAAACAGGATTCAAAATTTATAGCACTTATAATTTTAAAAAATAGCACTGTACCTATATTTCATTGAAAGCAATCAAATAAACTCTTAAAAATATTAAAACAAGCACCTAAGAGAAAAACACGTACAACTGTACAACTCACACATTGAATATTTTGTATGAAAAATAATCAAAAACTACCTTTTTGAGTTTTGAAAACATTTTAACTTCTTTGTTATACTTTTTATAGAGCTTCTGAAAAATTGTAGAAATTTTCCAAATCTTGTCTAAAAAAAATAAGAGGTGTGTATTATGGGAAATTTCACTTTCTAAAAAATATCTAGTAACTAGGKGCTTTATTATTTGATTGTACTATCGCACAATATTTCTATTTTTTCAATTAATCAGACATTAAATATTTTACCATCAATAGTTGTGCTACAGCAAACGCAAACCAGTATCTAATACATACAATTACGGCTTATATATATATATATTTTTTTTTTTTGATTTTAGGCTAAATGGATAAACAGAGAACGAATTTTGGTGTTCGGTACTCGTGGAATTAGTTTTCAACATCGCCATTTGATGAAAGATATAATTAAGTTGTTACCTCATGCAAAATCAGCTAACAAAATGGAACGTAAAGAAAATTTATTTGTGGTCAACGAGGTATATTGATTCAAAAAAATTTTTTTTTCTAGTTTTACCTTATGTTTAATGTTTTTATTTATTTATGACGTTTATTTTATTGATAGATGTGTAAGATGTCTCACTGTAACAAATGCATTTTATTTGATGGCAGACTTCATAGAGATTTGTACATGTGGTTTTCAAATTCACCAGATGGTCCTAGTATTAAGTTCAACGTGGAAAGTAGTAAGTACCTAAAATGAAATAACAAATTGGAACAACATTTATTAAACTAATTATTTGTAATTTTAGTATTTACAAGTGCTGAATTGAAATTAACTGGAAATTGCTTAAAAGGATCGAGGCCACTGTTGTCTTTTGACAATTCATTTGATGAGCATCCACAATATTCTTTGATGCGAGAAATGTTTGTACAGATATTCGGTGTGCCAGACCATCATCCTAAAAGTCAACCATTTGTTGATAATGTTATAAACTTCTCTGTATTGGATAACAGAATATGGTTTAGAAACTATCAAATTTTGGACGAAAATGGTGCAATAGCTGAAATAGGTATGTGAAATTATAGTATTTAAACCACTTTATTTAAAGTTTGTATTCTAAACTTAATTTATTTAACTTGTAGGACCAAGATTTGTTTTGCAACCGATTCGCATTTTTAAAGGAAGTTTTTGCGGTGAAACTCTTTGGGAAAATCCATTTTATGTTACTCCAGCAAAGGTATTATTAACAGAAATTATAAATTTATAAATATCTACAATTTGTGTAAAAATATTTTTTTATTTTTTTTAGACAAGACGTTTATTAAAGGATAATAAGAAAGACAAATATACCAATAATAAAATTCAGCGTAAAGCAAAGAAGACAAAGGAACTACTTGCACCGTTCCGCGTTAAACCAGAAAATGAAATATTCAGAGATGGCAACGTGAAGGAAAAGGCTAAACATTTAATAACCAAAAACAAAAAGGCTTTTTAATGTTAAATTTGTAATAAATATATTAAGAAATTTGTTTTACACGCAAGTCAATAAAATTTGAAAATAAAAACATTTGAATACCATAATGCACRTGACTTAAAAAAATATGTACGTATACATAAAAAATTATGTACAAAATTCTCCAACACACAACAAACAATATAATTAATGTAATAAGCGAGTAATTATACACAATTTAAAATTAAGGTAGATTATACATATATAATTTAAATAATTTTATTTGACTATGAAAAAGATTTTTCAGACGCCAAGTCCATAATTTTGACAAGACATTGACCAAACTCTTCGATTATTATCCGTTGACATTCCTCAGCACCAGCGTTTAATTTTTTAGCTTCCATGCCACGAGCTAATAGACACCGACATGTAGCTTGTACTACGTCATTAGTGAAAAATTTGAATGGTTGACTGAAAAATAAGAAAATGATTTCAAATTGATATGTCAAGCTTACAAAATAATTAAATGTAACAGTTCCAAATTAAAGCACAGATATATATATATATCACACAATTAAATATTAGCAGGTATCAATAGTCTTATAACATTGTTTACCTTGGTATAGCATTTGCAGCTTGCATGCTCCCAAATGATGTCACAAAACTAGCTGATTTTGTTCTAGATTTTAAATTTTCTACACTTAGAGATCCAGGGTGATCCCCAAATGAAGTATGCGAGTCGTCCTCCATATTACGACATCCAATGCATTTACAGTTTTGTGAACACGCTATCCGAGCTTCAAAGCATTCACAATAATTTTTCAAACAYCCTGATCTCTTACAATTACATCCTTTAGTATGTTGTCGTTCGGCTTGACCTACAAAGCTTTTGATTTTTGGTCTAAATGCATTTGGATTTCTATCTAATACTGATCGAATTGCCTGTGCTCGATCCTCTTCATGTTCCATGTTATTATAACACGAATTACAGTTACACTGGTAACAGAATTCACCATTGGCAAAGCAATCACAGTAACTATAACAATAAATAATGATCTGTCAGTAATTTTTCTCTAAACATCTTTAAGAAATTAAACTTACAGTTTAAGGCATTGTGATCTAGTGCAGTTACAAGGTTTTTTTGTTTTATTCACATCACTCGTTGATTTGGGTTTTGTTTCAGATAACACAAGTGCAGTAGAGGTTGATGGTCTCCCAATCTTTTGTAAAGTAGGGGTAGTTAAATTTGTTTCTTTTTTATCTTCTTTTTTTACAGRAATGGTATCGTCAATAAATTCTTCTTTAATTGTGATTTTGGAAGGAGTAGAAACCTTATTTACAACATAATATTAGTGGAAAAGTCAGAATGGTAAAATTTGTTTTAACATACTTGTTTAGGACTTGTAGAGTTTATTGATGGAATACTAGAACTACTAGGTTTTTTTGCTTCTACTGATGTATTTGAACTAGGTTTACTCGCAGGTAATATTGGTCTTTGTTGACTAGATGTAACAGTCTATGAAAATTAAATATTTTTATAATTTAATGATAAAAAATAATTGGTGATGGAATATCATACATGTGGTGAAGCAGTAAAAACTTTTATCTGATTTGTAACTGGCTGTTGATTGCTGGATGAAGAAGTCTTAGCAACAGTTGTAGTTTTAACGTTTGATTTTGGTGTCGAAGTCGATAATGTGACTACTTGAGTTTGCTTTGGAAGTGCTGTAGTCGTTGTTGTAGTGACAACAGATACAGTAGTAGAACCTAAACTACTTGTGGCTGTTGTGGGTACTAATCTTATGTATTGAACCTAATACAATTAAAATAATAGTCTTATAATTGATAAAAATAAACTGCTGCTGATTAGCATTACTTGTTTATTAGGTAGAACTTGTTGTATTCCAGAGTTTACTACTGGCATTCTGACTTGTTGTAAACCAGCAACAGTTGAAGCATTGACTGTTGGCAGCCGTATATGTTGAATAGTTGATACTGCTGATGACGACTGGCTAACAATAGATGGTAATCTTATAACCTGATTTGCACCATTACTAGTTGACACTAGTGTACCTTGTTTGAAAACGCTACCCTGAAAGAATAAATAAATGTAAAACTATTAGAGCTGGACAAGCATTGCTTATTTAATTTTAATAGAGTAGAGTACATGAGTACCTAACATGTTTTTGTACAGGGCCCAGTACTCGGAATTGCTGGAGTATTTTAAATTGCATGAGTAATTGGAATGTTAAAATTTGTTTTATTATTGAATTTTAATATTAAAAAATCAATAATAGGACAAAAAATGTTTTTATTTTGTACTATCAATAATTTAAAAATAAAAAAAATTTTATCATTAGAACCATGAAGTCAAGTACTCAAGTTTTTGCAAAATCTAGTACTCACTTAACTAAATAAAAAATATATAGACACATTAAAATAATTTCTATTTATTATTTGTAATTACTTGTCGTATAAAAATCTTTTGCTGTTGCATCATTGGACTTTTAGTTGTTATTAGGGTTGGTGCTGGCAAGATTTTTGTCGGTCCAGATGATTTCAAGGTACTTGTTGTTGTCCCTTTCTTCACGGCCCCCGAAATTTTATTTACTACCATATTCTATGTTTCATAACAAAAATAATATATATTTTAACTAAGACAAAAAAAACATATTATCATGTATGACTTCTTAGTATTTTTAAAAATGTTTGTAGTCTAAGAAAATATGACAAAAAACAACACATTAAAAAATATACCAGAAATTGAAAATAATGAAAGTATCAGCAGCATTATATCATTCAATATGAATTCAAACTAAAAATTAATTATAACATACTTTATTTTGTGTTGTGCTTGGATTTGAAGTTACAGGTTGAAGTCGACAACCAGGAGCAATTAAACCCATTTGGCGAGCTTGCGTTAATGTTATAGTCCTAGTTGAACCTAATTGTGGACGTTGTCCAATTGGAACATTTAATACAATCTGCTGAGTGCTTCTTCCAGTACTTGTACTGGGTAAGGTATTGACCATTACTTTTGTAAGCAACTAAAATAAAAAATAAATTAATGATCAATATGTTTTTATACATTTTTTTTTTTTCATGATCTATCATACAGGTTTTTTTGATTGTTGATTTCCATGCATAGTTTGTGGAGCACTTCTTTTTATGGCGTTTGAACTACTAACAGATAACATCTCAGACTGAGAATGTGATTGGGATTGTTTTAAAGTAACAATTTCATCTTCTTCTAAATCTATAGTCTCTAACTTAATATGTGGTTCAGTTAATTGAGGTTGAATAGAAGATTCATCAATAAGCTGACTATCTAATACAAGTTCATCTTTAAATCCTGGAACATCACCTGGATAACTACAAACTTCTTCTTCGATCAAATCAAGATGATTTTCTACATCCATTTGTTCAACAATTTCTTCAGTCCTATTAGGATCATCAAATAAATCTAGTTCAGCCTGCAGTCGCTCAATAGCTTCATATTCACCCGACATTAGCTTGTCAGAAGAACTTAACATGGTTAAGTAATCACCATCCAACACACTTGGACCACTCAGGTCTTGATTATCAAAATCTAAAGTTAAAAAAAAACTTGTTTTATAATTTAGTTATGTTTACTGTGATTTGGTCAACAAAACATGTCTATAGTACATTTAATAAATAATATATCAAGTAACACTTTTGATGATCTAGGTACTCAATATATCCTAATTCTCATTGATTGTGTATATTCATAGGTACATGTTATTATTACTTATTGAGGTGAATGACCTCTGGATTCTAAAAAGRGAAATATGAATAATCTTCGAGGTCAAATCAATTCAAAATTGGCATGAAAGATTTAATTTTGAAAAATTATACAATACCAATTAGACATTTGGTAACTAATATACCTATTATCATTGTTTTTGTTGACTATGTACATTTACTTTGATAATTTTAAAAATATCAGTACCCACTACATAATATTGTATTATAGTCTAGATTGTATAAACTACCAAAGAATATTTTAACTTATTGCAAAAATTAGTTGATGATTAAATTATAATTATTATTTTTAGAGTTAGAATTAAGATTGCATAATGTACAAAATAAAGTGAATACAGTTGAAATACTCTGTATTCAAAAGGTGATAAAAAATCTTAGGCCCAGTTAGGTTAACAGTTTACAAGAACCAGCATTTAAATAAAAAATCCACAAMGTTCAAGGGACTTGCAGTTGAAAGCTCGAAACGGGAAGAAAACAGCTTAAAATGCTTAAAAGAAAGAATGGCCCAGAGGAGAGTAAAACGCGTAAAATTTTTGCTATCCACCGTCCACACAGTTTGTACTCACCTGCGTTAGACATTGTCGGGCTGAACTCGGAGAAACTGAATGGATCACGAAAGCTCGGTCGATCGCTGGTGCCTTTAAGTCGTGTCCCGTGGGATCTCTTGGTCGTCGGCCGCGTCTCTCTGAAGATTCTGTAATTGTCTGTCGGGARCGGATCGGGTCTTCGTAGTTGGTCACGCCCAGGTCCAACTAATGCTGTCCGATGGTCAGCAGTGAGTGGACGTTGTTTGCGGACACCCTAAAACCGATCACGAGCCACATAAAGTCCGTGTTCGACGGTCATCGATTGTGAAAAAGTGCGCGTTTTTGGAGCGTTGTAACACCATATTTGATTTTCAAAAAATTTTTACCACCGACCAATCGCGTTCGTCCGATACGTAGGCACATTCGATAACAACAACAATACGCGAAAATGGGCGCCCGATCCACAGTCCACGAAATCTCGTACCATCGACACTAAACTAGTAACTCGCGATGGAATCTAATTCACCGGTAAGATGTTCCGAAGCATTAGCCAGACGCATCTAAAGATCTCGCAGAGCTACGGGTTACGATAACCATCGGACAGCCCGTCGTAACTTGTAGGRCAAACGCGTTCAAAGTGGGCTTTATTTCAAAAATTCAAAAGTCAACTTGGCTTGCGGTTACTGGTCACTGGTTAAGTGATTAAGTATTTACCAGTACTTGTATTTACCCAGGTTGTGGTTTTACGAGACCAGCAACCGTGCTGATTACGGCTGCAGTTGT